GCCCTGGTTCCTGGTATATATGTGTTATATATGTGTATATGTGTATATATATATATATATGTGTATATATATATATATATATGTGTATATATGTGTGTGTGTGTGTGTGTATATATGTATATATATATTTTGTTCCTACTATTGATTTTAGGTGAAATCTTTGGTAACTATCCCTTTGAGTGTCTACTGTGACTTAAACATTATTATTTTGTCATGTTTTGTATTTATTATAATTTAATAATTGGTTTAAGTGATGCAGGGCATTTTATATGAATGCAGAAATGGTTAATTGTCTAGCATTACATTATGTGAGTTTTGTTAACATCATTAGCTAAGCATTGTGCAGCTGTGTTGTGGAGGTGTAAATATAGGATTAGGACGGAGTATTGGCAGATTGAATTGGAGTTGGATCACTTGGAGTGGCAGACTAAATACTAGTTTGGGGACCTCCCCGCTGTCCAACGTACACAGGCGCTACGCCTACAACAGTTTGCCTGACAATTTCTGATTTCGCAGTCAATCTTCAGTAGTTGACCTTTTCCCACACACTGCCACAGACTGATAAGCAGACCTGAAACTGAATGGGCAAATAATAGACTTATCTATGCAAAATACCTGCATCAAAGTTATGTGGTATATAACTTTCCATTTCTACTATCATAGTTTCCATAATATGGTGAGTAAGTATAATTAAGACCTAAAAAATTCAGATGTTTTAGCCATCCAAGTTACCTTGATGCAAGGTTTGACCGTGAATCTATACCTCAGGGAGTAACCCGGGAGTGAATGTGGCTACAAGTTGATGGCACTGCACTTCCACATGGCATACCTTGCCTCTGTTCAGCCTTGGCCAGTATAGCTAATTGCAGCGTTGGCTTTCTGTTCTGTTTATGTGGTGAGATAGTACTGGATGCAGCTACTACCGTACTGACAACTTCTCACGTTTAAATGATTCATAAAGAAATTGTCACCATTTACAATTTGAGAGGGCTACATTCGTAGTAGTACATTAAAATCCTGCCATTTGGGTGTTTTACTGCCATTCTTCACTATAATTTCCAAGTCAAATACTGGGCAATTATTTTCCACATCTAAGAAGAAAATCTGTTGTTAACACAGGCACTTTAGGAAATTGGAAAATCTGTAGTTGTAAGTTGGCTGTATTGACTATCATTACTCCTGTTCCGTAATTAATGATGCTAAATTAAACCCCTAACACTGCCTATTGGTTAGATGTTATTGTGGTGATGGATTGCAGGCCCCTGTCTTAGCCTTTAACTGTGTTCTGTAATTAGGCTAAACGTTGCCTCATTCATTTGGGTCTTGTCTCTTTTGTTTTTTCCTGAAGGCCAGGAAGGGTACAGGAGAACACGGCCCAACTTGTCAGGAATCCCTTTTCAACGTGCCCCCTCCTCAATATTAAACTCGGCAGCAAAGAAAGCTTGGGGGAATTGTTTTGAGTGTAGAGTGGGAGAGCACTGGCTCAGATATCATCTCTCACTCTCAAGACTTGTCTGAGCTTGAAGGTGTCATAAAGTGCTCTACCAAATAAGGAACACAAGAGGATTAGAAACACAACACCTCCTTCATACTGCACAATATCAAAATCAAAAGTCAGCAAATTTAGTTCTGCTGTGCCGTAGGCCTATGAAGTAGAATCTAGATATGATATATGCCAAAGAGCTACATTAATAAGGACCTTGTGGAGCTAATATAATGTAATGTAAAGTATGTCATACATGGCTCTCAGGATTACTATTCAGAAACATTTCACTGGACACAGTACAGCAGGATATGTATCAGAAGAGCACCTCCTTTTCCTGCCTGTGACCCCTTTTATAACCCTGTGTCCTTTGAACAACATTGTTGCCCTGTGATTTAAAGCTAGCCGGAAGTTTAGAGACCATTGCTGAGATTGTGTGCACATGTGGAGAGCATTCGCGGAATCCAACATGCAGGAACAATCGTTGATGTGCTTAGTTTATTACCCTCCATTTAAGATGAATTTAGATGACCTTAAACTCAACTTGAGGAACATCCCAGTTATTACCCAGAAGTTAACACATGTTCCATATCCTGCAGAGTGTTGACTTAATATCTTTTCCTTATTTGTCTCTCATTCTCCTTTCCCCAGGACCAATATGACATCATTGAGAAGCATACACAGTCTGGCCTGGAGCTGGTGGAGAAGTATGTGAAATTTGTGAAGGAGAGGACAGAGATTGAACAAAACTATGCCAAACAACTGAGGTAGGCCTCGCTTTTTGTCATTGTTCTCCTGCGCTGTCTGCCTAAAATGCTCAAAGCAGCTTGTGTTAGTGTGTGTGTTTGCTTGTGTTTGCTTGGGTACATGTTAAATGGCTGTTTATGAAATGTTTGTGGGGTCTTATGACCACTTTGGGACAGAATCTAACTTGTCTCTGAAACACTGGCCTCATTCTCCAGCTGCAGTGTGCTCGCTCTCTCCCTCTTTCTCTCTTCATCCATGGTGCTCCCTCTCCTAGTTGTCTCCCAGTCTGCAGGCCCACATCTGGTGTAGTGCTGAGCTTTGCTGGAGAGGAGAGGAAGTGGGAGCAGACTGGCACATGATAGACAGTATGTGGTCAGAGGGAGAGTGAAATGAGGAAGAACAGTTTTTTTAATAAGTGCATAGTTTACTGATGTTTTTAATCCTATTGTATAAAACAGCCAGTGGTTGCATAAGAATAGCTGAATTTAGCAAGCTTTCTTTAACTGTTTTCCATCTTTTCCCTTTGAGAATTTGTTAAGTATGCGTGTACCCATTTGTTTGATGCGCTTTCATTTTCCACAGGAATCTTTCCAAGAAATATAACCTAAAACGAAGCAGTAAAGATGAACCAGAGTGCAGGTGAGGCATTGTGGGTTTTGTTGCAAAGCATTCCTTTAATGACAGCTTACAGATAATACCTTTTTTTTTTTTAGTTTCAGTATTATATTTATATTTAGTTTTCAATATAATATATAATACTATATATATATATATTAAAGTATACATACTAAATAGTAATTTATAAAATAATACTAAGAAAACAAAAAATATACAAAAGTAAATATTTTTTTTTATAAATATTATGTAAATATATATCAAATATAATAGTATTTTTATATTACTAAGGTATATATATATTTATATAACTAATATATGACTATATCAGTATATTTTTATATATTATTTTTATATATACTATCAGTATTATATATGGTATCATAACGTACTATTAATTTTTATATATATAAAAAAAAAAATATATATATACTCATACTAGATAGGTCATATCTACTATCAAGAATAACTCAAGTTGTTTAGTTTTTTTTCACCTTATATATATATATATATTGTTTATTTTTTTTACTTTTTATTTGAGGAATTACATTTTGCTGCAAAATGTCAGCTAAAATTGTGCTTACTGGGTCAATTTGGATTAACACCCTGGCTGTAATGCCACACTCAGCAACAGAACTGATTACCATGTTTCACACAGTTTTTTTGTCATTAGTGTCATTCATGCTATAGTGAGCGGCTGCTGGCCATTTAAACGATCCTAGGAGGAAGCAAAAATAAGGAAGTCATGAGCTTCTTATTATGACTTGGTCCACTGCTGCTTTCTCTTTGAGTTTGTGTATGTATCGTCTTATCGGTGGTCCCATCACTGTGTTCTCATCTCTCCACCCTTTCCTCTCTCCTCCTCTTAAATGGTAGGTTGTCCAGCTACCAGTCTTTTTTGGAAATCCTCAATGAGATGAACGACTACGCGGGGCAGAGAGAGCTAATTGCTGAAAACATGATGATGAGCATTTGCATCGATCTCACCAAGTACCTGCAAGAGCTCAAGCAGGAACGAAAGACGGTGAGCTTCATATGGAGTGGACCAGTGGTGAATTGTGTTACTCTGGTTGAAGTCCATCTTTGTAGCCATGAGTATACCAAATAAGTTGAATTTGCAGGCAAAAGTGGTTGTTTGATACTATACACACTGTGCTCAGGCTCCTTAAAAGGCAACTTGTTGACATTTTCCCACAGCCTTGTTGTCCGCCCTCTGAAACACCTTCCTCTGTAGCTTGTCAACTATGTTATAATGGGTTTTGGTCCATTCTGCTTTACTTTGATACAGCAGAAATAGTTTAAATGTTTACTTGTTTTGCTTACCACTGCAAGCTCCTTTATTTAGTATGGGTGACATAAAACATTGAAAAACAATTAAGAATGGCAGCACAATATCCTAGAGCCCAAGTTGACTTCATCAAATGTAGTTATTGTTTTTTTTGTCAGACCAACGGTTCAAAAACCAATAATTAGATTGACTATTAGGTAAGACCAAGAAAAGCTGCATATTTTCTAATTTTTTAATTTCTTGCATTTTTGCCTAAAAAGTCATGAGTCATGTATCAAAATAAGTGTGAATTATAATAATCAATAGTAATACATTTTCTGTTATTGACTAGTGGTTCCATGTCCATAATGTATACTGTATACTATTATGTGCCTGCATGTTCACCAGCAGCTTGAGAATACTCCAAATGAGTCAGACAGAATTGTCATTTGCAGTATACAGCACACACTGCTCAGAAGGAGTGTAAAGGGTAGTGTAAATGATAAGAGGGGGAGATTTAAAGGAGGAGTTGAGATTCGGAGATCTCACGGTTGTGGCAGGAAGGAAGCCTTACTTAGTGTCTCCAGGGGGAGGCATGGTCTGCGTGGTGGTGTGCCATTTCTCTATGAGGAATGCATTGGCTCTGTCCCACTGGATTGCAGAACACTGCAGCCGTGTACAGGCTCTCACTGCAGACGTGATGTCTCAAACAGACACACTGGTATTTGTTTTCTTGTCTGTTATGTTGTGTGGCTTTTGGAGGTCATTGTTTATTCTGTGTCTGCCCCTACACATGGCTGTCTCTCTCTGTGTCATCTGACCCGCCTCCCCTCCTCTCACTTCGGTCTATTTTTATGAATGTTTGCAGTATCTGATGGAGGCCAAGAAGGCCCAGCAGAGTTTGGAGAGCACCTACAAGCAGCTTGACGGTGTAAGTCTAAAGGAGGCGTCAATCATATGTCATGATTAATTTTTGCATTTTCTATTGTAACAATAGTATATAATACTACGCAGCTTTGCTGTTAGATATATTATATACTATATATAGTCCCTTTTTGTCTTTGTGTTGGGTTTATTATGAAAGAAGGGGGGAAATTCTCTGTAAGCAAATGACTGCATGTTCAGTGTGGTTGGTCAGGTGGCTATATTTTTCTCTAGTAAAAACAGATGGACTGAGTGGCAAGCAGTTCCAATTTTAGACTCCTATCATCAATCCAAGACCTATTCACTTATGATTAGAGATGATAGAGTCCCAACGCCCCCAACCTCCCTTATCTGTCTTTTTAGAAAGACAGTGAAAAATGTTCTGCTCAAAATAGTAGAACCTCCTCATATTTCATTCAGGCCATGGTCTCACTTAGTTGAATGAGCTGAACATGTTCTTTTTCTCTCCATCTTTCTTTTTCTTTTTGCACACCAGAGTAAAAAGCGCTTTGAGAGGGAATGGAGGGAAGCGGAGCGTGCAGCACAGTACGCAGAAAAGACTGATCAAGACATCAATGCCACGAAGGCGGATGTTGAAAAAGTAACAAAGGACTATTTTAAGGACTATTTATCATGATCAAAAGTAGAATCAGATGCACTTTGTTAACCTGTTGCTTTATGTGTGGTTCTAGGCCAAACAGCAGGCTCATATGAGAGCACATGTAGCGGAGGAGTGTAAGAACGACTATGCTGCTCAGCTTCAGAAGTACAACAAGGAGCAGAATCAGTTCTATTTTAATGATATGCCACTCATTTTCAATGTAAGTAAATTGCGTATGGCCCAATATTCCTGTCCTTAATGTTTATTTGAGTTGTTAACATGTGGTTATTGTATATTTATTATTTATTACATTATTATTATTTAAGTTCAGTTCTACTTTTTACCTCTTACATGCACCATGGAGTGTGCATGTTGCCAATTACTGCTGTCATTTTGAGTTTTCTAAAATTAAACAAAGCCAGGGATGAACTGTTCAGTTAAATCAGTTCATTTAGTTTCACCTATTCACATGCTAAAGTTTTGACTTTGAAGCTTTCATCAGAACAAATAATCATAAATAACTAAACTTGTTGCTTGATGTTGAGATACACATTGTATGTATTATGGGCTATGTAATATTTATTGTCTCAAGCCTAATAATGGTGTCTGTGTTCATTAGAAATTGCAGGATCTGGATGAGAGGCGAGTGCGGAAGTTGGCGCAAGGCTACATCTTGTTCTCAGACACAGAGAAGCATGTGATGCCTATCATTGGCAAGTGCCTGGAAGGCATTACTAAAGCCGGCACTAATGTTAATGAGAGGAATGTGAGTTGGTCTCAAAAATTAAAAATGGATTTTGATGTGCAGCGTGGCTTTATGCTGTTCACTTGTTTCAACTGTTTGAAAACAAATCTTGATTACCCTTATCCATGATTGCATCTAATATAGGACTCCATGGTTGTGATAGAGCAGAACAAGTCAGGCTTCGAACGTCCTGGAGATGTGGAGTTTGAGGACTACAGTCAAGGAATCAACCGAGCCTCATCTGACAGTAGCCTGGGCACGCCTAAAGGCCCAATGGACCTTCTAGGAAAGAACAGGAGCAAAAACTTTTGGCTTTTCAGCAAAAGAAGTAAGGTAGGACATTCCACTCAAGCAGAGCACATTAGGCTAATTTAACCAAATTACATGACCTTATACTAAAAGAGAAGTTTTTTGCATTGTGATAATTGAGCAATGAATACACTAGCAACCCCCTCCATCAATGATCAATGGCAGCAGACTTGAAAATCCGCAGGTGCGCAGTGGCTAAGTCCTTGCACGGAAATGTTAGTGTCTGAGCTGGAGAGCCAGCAGGCAGAGCCAGGAAATCCACCCTACAGAGAGCACTCATGATGGACCTGTGGTTGTGGCTATACACACACACACGCACTCACACACACGCACTCACACACGTCCTCTTGAAAGCTCAGTATAATAACGCATGAACCTCTTTTATTATATTATACATGAACTCACACACCCCAACACTTCTAGAACAGGTCCTTTGCATGACTCTGTCCCTGGCTGTGAGTGAATAAACCTTGCTGCCCCCCGCCCCCCGCCCACACACCTCCCTCTCTTTGCAGCGTGGTTTCCAATAGGTCAACTGGCAGTCAGCATTCTGCTGTGCTTGTGCTTTCATCAGCACGGGGCCCAAACAACATTGAATTTTCCTCTACAGGCATCCACAAACACACTGCTTCCATTATACTGCCCAGAACCTAGCATTATGTCTCTCATCACAATAAAATGTTTGTGCCAACAATTAGGATGACACCAGGTTTGCCAGGTCAGAGAAATTGGCTCACATCCAACCAAACATTAATGCAGTAGCTGTTAACATTGACATTTTTGTATTTGGTCTTAAGAATCGATCTCACGGGCTCTTGATGGGGTCCCAAATTGAACTGGTGATATTGGTAGCTGACCACTAACCAGCTAACAGTCCCACTCCTTCTGCCCCAGCATTAAGTGACCCCCTCTCTCTTCCCTGCAGTGTTTGCTTGTTCAGCGCCTCTCCTCTCTCTGCATGTCTTACTGGCTGTGCTCTGTTGTGCACTCTTTCTGTTCTGTGTATGTGTGTGGCACACTGCTCTGTGTCATCAGTCATGCTCTCCCAATTAGGACTGTAGCAGTATGAATAGGAGGCTGAATGTACTGGCTTGACTGAGCTTTTGGTTTATGTCTGGCCCCGAACATTCCCATTCTTAACTGCTCTCCTGTACTTAGATTCCCATAACTCTCAAGAAAAGTAGCACCTACCCAGTAGATGGTCACATAATAACAGTGCTGTACTTCCAGCGCTCAGTATTTACACAAGGGACCTTGTTGTAGGGCTGTGTTAGACATTCACTATTGAAGACTAGAAGACATCAGCCTCCTGTATAATTTAGCTAATAGATCCCACCCCCGACCTTTCCACATAGACACAGAGTTAACGCTCTTTTTAAGAGGTCATACAGGGCATTCATCAAGCCCCCAGACATCCATATGCACAACTGACATTGTGGAAATTAAGCAGGATATTTATAACAACTGCACTGGTGTATGAATTGATTTTTATCTATGTAGGTCAGACTCAAAGGATAGCACAGGTTTCACAACTGTGAACATGATTTTTCACACAGAATACTAATGGTTTAGTTGGCTCATTCGGCTTAAGGAAAGTGTTTTCTTTATAACATAGGTCTTATTTTCATAGTTTGGGCCATTATAACTGTAATTTTTAAGAAATATGTGACTGTGTTCACTGTAGACACACAGGAATGCTGCGACCAAACTAGACAGCTTTACATAGCTTTGTAAACTCTGAGAACTATGCTAGAGAAGAAAGGATGAATATTTTTTTTTGCATAAACTAGCCTATTGGAGCATAGCAAACACAAGCAATCAGTATTTAAATAAACCCAGTTCTACCTTTTTTCTTATATTACTCAACTATGTATTATATTGCACTCTACTGAACTATTATATTGCATTATATTGAACTGTGAGTAGCTCTTTAATACTGTTTATGTGTACAGTAAACAGTTTTTTCTTCACCTTCATTTTCACTTCCAAGTATGTAATTTAGATGATTGGGCTTTGATGTAATGCTGTGCCATATTTCTAGATTAGAGATAGAGTAAATCTATGAATACAAAAATGTTCTTTAACCCATTTAAGCAGTTCAAATTTAGTCTAGGTGGCCTGTTCCGGTTGCTCACTGTGGTTCACCATTCAACCTGGCTTGAGTTCGACAGCAGGTGTTTGATTGCTGAGGCTTAGGTGTGGGAGCTGTGGAGGGTCGCTCGCTGTCTTATTTTTGTATTTGGGTTTTTTTATGCGTGTGTTGATGTGAGCCAAAGAGTCAGATGTGTGTTTGTGCTTTGATGCTCTCTGGGCTTGTGTGCTGGGTTTGCTCAAGTGTTGTCCTCCTGGCTTTGTGGTGTGCTTTAAGGTGTTGATGGTGTCTTTTTCTTTCCCTTTTCACCTTGTTGTTTTTTGCCTTCCCCCTCTCCCCCATTCTGTACACCACCCTCTGCCTA